ACAAAAACCATGTGCTTGTCCATCACACTGTGCTCCCACACTCCTGGTGGACAGCTCTGGTCCCAGACACCTGCCCTGCCTGCCCCAATATACCTCAACCAGCGTCACACTCAACAGACAGACCTGCAGGAGGGCAATACAGAAACCATCCCTGTTGTGAAAGATGAGAGAGAACAAAGAGGGGGTTTACTCTCCTGTCTAAGATATAACTACCTACAATTTATGCAAGATCAGAGAAAAGAAAATTTAAGAACTGAGGACACTCAACCTATAGAATATCTTTTCTCCACCCTCACTAGGATGAATGGAATTTTATACACAAGATTAGTATGCTGGTAATTCTAAGCATTTCAATGAGCTCTAGAGAGAGAATCCATTCCTGGGCTAGGCGAAATTCAAACCCTCCTGCATTATTTGGATTGAATGAAACCACACCGAACACAGAGCTTGCAATGTAGGAGGTACCCAATAAACGGTAGCTTCCTCCCTCCATATGGCCTCATACCTATGGAGTTATATACTAAAATTTTAAATAAATTTTTTTTACAGTAGTGAATGTGACATCTGAGACAAGGAGAATCATATATGTCTAAAAAAAATAAAGATAGACAGTGTGAATTAGGCAGTAAATGGCTGAAGACCCACCAGCAGTGGTGAAGGGAGACAGCATTTGCATAAACAGATGAAACAAGTATACTGAAGCCTGATGCCATAAAAGACATTTTATATTTAAGGCCTGTTGAGTCCACATCCAGCAAAGCTCCTCCAAGAATCAAGGAGGGTCAGCCGCTGAAGCTCCTGGCTGCATGGGCTCAGGTGGGCTCTAAGTGGAAGTACTTACTAATTCTGCATCACTTTTTTTAAAAAAAAAACTTTTATTTTAGAATAGTTTTAGACACACAGAAAAGCTGCAGAGGTAATACAGAGTTCCTGTATACCCTTCACTCCATTTTGCCTGTTAACATCTTACATTACCATGGTATATTTGTTACTACTAAGAAGCCAACATGGGCAAATTACTGTTAAACAAACTCCACAGTTTATTCATATTTTAATAATAGTTTTTCCACTAACATCCTTCTTCTCTTCCAGGATCCCATCTGGGGTAACTCATTACATTTAGTCACCATGTCTCCTTAGGCTCTTCTTACCTGTGATAGTTTCTCAGACTTTCCTTCTTTCTTAAGACCTTGATGGTTTTGAGGAGTACTGGTCAGGTATTTTGTAGAATGTTCCGTGATTTGGGATCGTCTGACGTTTTTCTCCTGGTGAGACTAGGTTTATGGGTTTGGGGGAAGAAGACGACAGAGGCGTAGCGCTCTTCTTCTACATCATGGGCCACATTCTAGCAACATGACTTACCACTCATGATGTTGACCTTGACCACCTGGCCAAGGTAGTGCTGGCCAGGTTTCTCCACTGTAAGGTTACTTTTTTCCCCTGCTTCCATACTCTAGTAAGTCACTAAGTATAGCCCATACTGTAATAGTCAGGGGAGGCTTAAGCTCCACCGCCTTATTACATAAATTAATAATAAATTAATTACTTGGAATCCTTGAGTAAGAAAGATTCATCCCTTCTCCCTCACTTACTTTCTTATTAATTCATTCAGTTATGTATCAGCATGGACTCATGGATATTTTATACTTTCAGTTATAATCCAATACCAGGTTATTTATTTTATTGCTTAAATTATTCCAACTTTGGTCAGCTCTTCCAGGATGGCTCCTGCATCCCTTTGACCTGCCCCATTCCTTTTGCTTTTCGAGCAATGCCTTCATTTCTGATACTACAAGGTAGTCTCGGTTCATCTTGTACACTCCCTGTACCAGCCCTAGAAGCAGCCATTTCTCCAAGGAGAACAGCTTCCTTTTATGAGCGAATGGTACTAGAAAGCAAGATCTGTGCACTGGGGGTTTTGCCATAGGCTTTTGCACTTTGAGATCATGCTGCAACTGACAGGCTCGGCCCTCCTCTGGCGGTCTGCTCTAGGGCACATGTTCAGTCCACCAGCATCTTCTTCCTGAATTATGGTTGTTGTGTGTCAGGGGCTTCATGCTTTTCTGTGGTGGGGCTTCAGTTTGAGTAATTTTCCTGCCCTCTCTCTCACCCATCACTCACCCCAGGGAAGGTACAGTGAATTGTCTGCTCGGCGGTTTTGAAAGAGAGAACTAAGTCAGCTTAACCCCCTCAGGGCTCTCTCTCTCCAACGTGCCCGACAGAAGAGCAGGGGCAGCGGTCAGCCGTCTGACCCTGTCAGGAGGCCCTGGGGTGGTCTAGTAAGCTGACGACTGGGTAGAAAGTCGGACTCACTTAGGGGCACAGGATGAGGAGGCCCACTGCGGCCACACTGCTAAGCCATGTCAGTCAGTCAACCATTCATGCAGTTTTTGGTTCCTTAGTTAACAAACACTTATTTACCTCCTACACATGCCAGGCTCTGTTCTAGGCACTGGTGATACAGCAGTGGGAAAACAAAGCAAAAACAGAATTCCTGGGCTTCCCTGGTGGCACAGTGGTTGAGAGTCTGCCTGCCAATGCAGGTGACATGGGTTCGTGCCCCTGAGCGGCTGGGTCCGTGAGCCATGGCCACTGAGCCTGCGCGTCCGGAGCCTGTGCTCCGCAGCGGGAGAGGCCACAACAGAGAGAGGTCCGCATACCGCAAAAAAAAAACCCAAAACAGAATTCCTGCCTGCATGGAGAAAACATACTTGCAGGGGAATAAAGACAACAAGCAAAAATCAATGTGTAGGGCTTCCCTAGTGGTACAGTGGTTGAGAATCTGCCTGCTAATGCAGGGGACCCGGGTTCGAGCCCTGGTCTGGGAAGATCCCACATGCCACGGAGCAACTAGGCCCATGAGCCATGGCCGCTGAGCCTCCGCATCTGGAGCCTGTGCTCTGCAACAACAGAGGCTGCAATAGTGAGCGATGGAACTGTGATGAAGAGTGGCCCCCGCTTGCCACAACTAGAGAAAGCCCTTGCACAGAAACGAAGACCCAACACAGCCAAAATAAATAAATGAATTAATAAACTCCTACCCCCAACATCTTAAAAAAAAAAAATCAATGTGTAAAGGCCAGGGGGCTGTCAGTGCTCTAAAGAGGCAGGGCCGGTGGCTAGAGAGTTAGCGAAGAGGGAAGGGAATAAGTACAGGAGCGGAGGACAGAGACCGTGTGAGGGGGGAGGTCAGCGGATGGCTTTGAACAGAGGAAGAAAGTTTTCTCCTTTCTCGAGGGCTCACTCTGACTGCCCTGTTTAAAATCATCTGTTGATGGGAGTCATGGGTGTGGGAAGGCAAAGGGCCAAAGCAGGAGGATCAGCCAGGCCGGGGATGACAACGGCCTGGGCCAGGTGGTGGCAGTAGGTGTGGCACAGGGAAGAGCAAATGAGCCAGGGATTCCTCCAAGGTGCTCCGTCTGCACAACTGCCAGGTGGTGTCAGACTTGACTGAGATGGGAAGGCTGTAGGAGGGGCAGGTGGGGTGGAGAGGATTAGGTGTTGACTGGAGACATGTTAAATTAGCGATGGTAAGCCCCCCTCAGAACTACCTTAGAAAGAGCAAAGATAAACGGGGAGTGTCTTTTCCACTCGACTGAGTGACTCTGCACCGGGGTTGGGGGAGTGGTGAGTTGGCATGTAGGCCTCGGGCCTGCGTGTCTAGAATGATGTATGACATTAACAAGGAAGAAGAGCTATGGCTTCTGTGCGTCCACGTGAGCCCGCATGCCTCTGGATAGCATGAAGATACTGTGCCTACTGCACGTCATGCCTTGTATCTTTCTATAAAGCCCCGAAATGTAATATGAGATTAAAACCTATCATGTCTTGTGCATCTGAGGCCAACTTGAACCCATGACTACAGCCATGCTGCAGCATAATAAAGCTGATATTTTAATCTCTCTGTCTGACCCCTGTCTCCCCATAATTGGGAAGGGAAGAAGTGTTCATTATTGCCTCCCTGAATCTCTGACATCCTGGTAGGAGTTTCCTTCAGGTGGTGATGTGTGCAAATCAGTCTTTATGGTAATTCAGAGGGTGAGAAGCTGACGGTAGACACGAAAATCCAACCCTGTTTGATCACGTAAGTCTTTACATGGCTCGTGGATTGATGAAAATTCTCTAGTGCTGTTCCTTTAATGAAGAATGGACAGTTCCCTACACAGGAAGGGCAAGCTGGTCTTCTGTGATGTGTGGCACTGAAAACTCTCAACAAAACGGACCCACTCTATCTCTGAAGGGCGGTGCACTCCTGAGGGGCAGAGCCGTGACTGGTCACAGGAGTAGCTCTCCGTCTTCAAGAAGCATGTCCTACGTGACCACATAAATGCAGCCCACGGGAACCACAGAAAAACCAACGTGGAGAGTGGTCCTTGCTGAGGTTCTGATGGGCATATTGGTATTTTCACACAGAGCTGCTGGGATTGAGCCTGATACTTCCTCCTTGAGCAGTGTCAAGAGGAAGAGAAGTGAGAGCACAGTTAAGAAGTGATGCTGGGGACTTCCCTGGTGGCGCAGTGGTTAAGAATCCACCTGCCCCGCATAGCACAGGGAGATCAGCTCGGTGCTTTGTGTCCACCTAGAGGGGTGCGATACGTAGGGTGGGAGGGAGACGCAAGAGGGAAGAGATATGGGGATATATGTATACACATAGCTGATTCACTTCATTATACAGCAGAAACACACACACCATTATAAAGCAATTATACTCCAATAAAGATGTTAAAGAAAAAAAAAAAAAGAATCCACCTGCCAATACAGGGGACACTGGTTCAAGCCCTGGTCCAGAAAGATCCCACATGTCACAGAGCAACTAAGCCCTTGCAACACAACTACTGAGCCTGTGCTCTAGAGCCCACAGGCCACAACTACTGAGCTCACGCACCTAGAGCCTGTGCTCCGCAACACGAGAAGCCACCGCAATGAGAAGCCCGTGCACCGCAACAAAGAGTAACCCCCACTCACCGCAACTAGGGAAAGCCTGCACGCAGCAACACAGACCCAACGCAGCCAAAAATGAATAAATAAATAAATAAATAAAAAAGAAGTGATGCTGGTGGCATTCAGTGATGATTCTCTAATAAGGAACTTTTGGAGGAAAGTTGTAAAAATTATTCTTGAGACCACAGATCTTATGAATGCTTCTCTGAAAGCGATGCCAACACTCTAGCAGTTTGAGAGGCGTGGCTCTAGGTTCCCTTCCTTCACCCCTGCTTATCAGTTCCTCCTGGCTTTCACATTTAATTGGGTCTGGCACATGTGAGTGTTCTCTCTTCACCTGCATCCATCTGACAGATCTGACCACTTTGCATATTAACGACTTGGCCACCTACCAACAGCATAAGCACCGGGATAAATCCTGGTGGAGCTTCTCTCCTCTGCTTCAGCGGAGGAAATGCTTGAAATGGTCTTGAAATGCTTTGAGATCTACAGCAATAAAAGCACAGGGAAACAATTTACTTGCTTGATGACAGGACCACTTGGTTCTTGCATAACAGAGAAGTCTTTTGGAAGTTCATGTGTACATCTCAACATCATCGCAATCACACCCAACTCATAAAATCTCTCTCTGGCCTAAGAGGTGCCCCCAGAACAAAATGACTTCTTGGACCATTTTATTTATTAGACTTAAGTGACTACAGTTCAGCATTCCTTTAATATGCAACTTAAGGACTCCCCAAGTTATGTGTTCTCTGCTAAATTACCCAGAGACACATAATTTGGAAATAAGAAGCCACCTGACATCTATGTTCGAAGGACACAGACAACCTAACACACAATTTAGGTAAAAACAACTCAACAGGCTTCACCTCTTCTATCATCTAAAAAAATGCAACATCAACGGTTTTGCCCTTTTACTGTGTATAAGGAAACCTCTTTCCTTATGCATAATTCACTGCCTTTCACTTCCACTCTCTGCATGTTCTTACACGTGGATGGACCCCCAGGCCAGCTGCCCCAGTGGCAGACCCCAGAGAGCAGCCCCATTGTGTTAACCCACTGGGCTGACTAATGCGGCATCACACGGAGGTAAGGAAGCCAATGACTGGATCTCAGGTTCCTCCCTGCACTTACTGCCCACCATTCACCTCAGCCCAATGTCTCAGGCAGAATGAGCCCGTTAAATGGGCTTGGAAAATGAAGCAAGTTTCCCTCTCCACGTGCCACTCACAGAGCATGTTTCAGTAACACATGCACAGGGCACTGTAGCCTTTGGAGCCAGCAGGGATGGAGAAAGCAAAGAAAACAAAGCCCAAAAGGATGAGAAAAGGCAGAAGTAGTAGCTTTCTGTTCCCATACAACTTAAAAAGTTATAAATAGATGGGGAAATGGACAAACTAGAAAAAATATTTTACTACAAAGAGAAATGAAAACCTTCAGTATTTAGACAAAGAAAGAAGCAAAGAGGATTGCCACAAAAGCCACCACCTCTGCATACAAAGAACTATACCAAAGGTTACAAATGCTGTTCTAAGCACTAGAATGCTTTCATCTCAAATTACTTTGGTTATTAATTACCCAAATATTTCCAAGACCTTCCACAAGAGAAAAAAGATACAATGCTCTTCTGAAGTCAGGCAGAATGTTAGGTCAGGAAACAAACTGGGTCACCCATCTGGAGTTTACAGGCTGAGAAGTTACCATTTTTCCCCAATAGATTTTGGAGTCAATTGGAGGGACCAAGAAAAAAAAAAAGTGCTTTTTTTTTTTTTTTTTCCCTGGGTTGAAAATGAGAATTTTATTTTCTTCCACTTGCTTTTCACTATACAGGTAGAGTTTATGCCACGCTTGACTTCTGAAAAGATATTCAGACAAAGTCAGAAGTCAGTTTTACTTTCCTGCTAGGGATCTGCTGCAGGGAGTTACATATTTGTAACAAAAGGACATGTGCCTGCAGCTGTAGAGCTGCTCACACTGCCCGTCTGTGTGCAGCAGGGAATGCTAACTAATGGGGCCAGCCTGCGTGTTGAAATAGCATCATCCACTAGAGGCCAGAATGAAGCCGCCTGTTCAGTGCTGCTGAGGCCCATTCAGATTCCAGATGAACACAGACTTAGGAAGAAATGAAACACGATGACGTCAGGGAGTGACACCATGCCCGTCGGTGACATGCCAGCACAATGCATTTCTGAATCCTCTTACGCGGAGTTTCCTTCCACATCTGAATCAGTGACCAAAGGAGGCACTGACAGGACATCTGTCAGCAAGAGTGACACTTGTATTGACGACTCTGGAACGAGTGTGGTCAGGTCTTTCCTGAACTGAGGATGAGAAGGACGGGAAAGAGCAAGGAAGGCACAGATGTTGGCACGAGAGGGGCCGAGATACACCTGTGTGGCTGATATAGGTGACAGCAAAGGAGAACACAGAAACGGGTGGGGAAAATGCCCTTCAGTTCTCAGACCTGGAGCTGGGCTGTGAACCCAGTGGAGCCCAGTCCGTTCGTGGGGAGCTAGTTAACTACACACAGCACATACGCGACATGGAATACGATGCAGTCACCGAAGAACGAAGTAGACCTGGTTGTCTGTTGTGGAAAGGCCTCTATGACATGCTGATGTGAGAAACTAGCAGACGGTATGCTCTTGAGTGATGGCATTTGTGTGCATTTGTTAAGGACGTGCACCAGCAGAGACACATCCCCACACACGTATAAAATTCTTCCCAAAGGAACACACCAACAATAACGACAACAACAAGGCTTGCAATTAGGGCTCCTGCACTTGCTGTGGCCCCCAGTCAGGGTCAGATCCTTCTCTGAAGCCTCTCCTCAGTTCCTTACAGTTATCATCTCAGTAAGACACCCCTGGCCACCACATGTAAAATCGCAATCGCTCCAGCACTCTCTACCCCGATTTGCTGCTTTATTTTCCTCCAAAACACCTATTGCCATCTGCCACATTTCATGGGTCAGTCTTTTTTTCTTATTTTTAGGCCATGCTGTGGGATCTTATTTCCCCGACCAGGGATTGAACCCATGCTCCCTGCATTGGGAGTGCAGGGCTCTTAACCACTGGACCACCAGGGAAGTCCCTGTGGGTTACTTATTTACGTGTGTGTTTTATCTTCTGTCTCACTCCACTGGAACGTAAGTGCTAGGAAGGGAGGGACATTTTGTCTGTTTTGTTCCCTACTGTGTCCCCAGTGCCTAAGGCAGCATCTGTTCATAATAGGGTCTCCAAAAGTTTGTTACATAAATTAGTTAAGACAAGTCCTCTGTTGTTGTTCTGAAGGGTAAAAAGAGCTAGAAGTTACTTAAGGTTACCAAGGCAATGAGACTGAGATGAAGCCGCTGCTCTGCCCCCAGTTGACTTCCCTCCAGAAGTGGGTCCCAGGAATCCAGGGCATCTCCCTTCTGTTGGGACTTTATACTTAAAAGCTTTCGCTATCTGGAATGACTCTGCTGCAAAGTTCTAACAGGGGAATGCAGCTATTCATAGACTTTTGACGGAAAGATAGCCCTCTTCTCCTAGAAAAGTCACTCACTTCAGCCAACAGCACAGGTTTGAGAGACTCTTGAAAAGCTGGGGAAGAAGGACACCTGCCCGGCAGGTCAAACCAGCAGACCAGCCGGCTGCTGATGGGAGGACAATTGTGTCAGCCAGGCCGCCCTCATACCCCTGCCTGGAATGAAGTTCTCTACACAGCCCATTTCACTCAGCCCCAAACTCAGCACCCGCAAAGATGCAGCAGAATACAAGGAATGGCCCAGCCAGAATTCTTAGCAGGGAGGGGAGTGTCTTCCTATCATCATATTTTGCTGAAATAATTCTGAATTGTGCCTTTGAAGTAGAGAATGGCAGAGCCTGGAGATTCTCTTTGCCGAAGTCTTGCTAATGGAGACATCTCCAAATACTGATTGAATTCTTGGGGCAACTCCTTAAGCAATCTATCCCTATTTCACCACTTAAAAAAACAGAATTGTGAGAAACATTTTTGGAATAAAGTATTTGTTGTCATGTGGACAAATATACAGAAGTTGGGCTAACTGTAGATATTAATGGGATTTTTTTTTTCTACTTCTCCATTCCTAACTACAAATTAGTTACCTCCTGAAGAGGTATCTACTTAGTATGTAGACAGGGGAAATCACGTGATGCAATTTCATGCTTGGTTTGTGTTCTCTTCAGTTTTATTTATCAGGTGGTTTGCATTCTATTTTAAATGCGGTCATTCTTAAATGCATGAATATCTACAGCAATATTGCTCTTCCCAGATTATCAAATGTGTCACTACTTCAAGCATCTAGAAGCCGGTCCAGGACATAGGTGAAACGAGCTAAAGTAACACTGTATCAAAGAAAAATGAATGCACTTTGCTTCTTATGTTTTCATTCAAAGCTTTATCAACTATTATTTAACAGACAAGCTTAACAAGTATGCTTAATTAATTTCTAAATCTAAAGCAGAGTGGAAGGAAAATAAGGCTAGGAAAAAGATGTCATAGTCAGGCAGCTGCAATGACTCAGAGGTGAGATAGATGATAATAATAAAAGAATAAAATAAGAATACAGGTAGTGAATATTCATAACAAACATCAATTGTCAAGACAATATTTAACTATGACTGGTGTATACTGAAATGGCAGAAAGATTTCTAATGTATTCTAGAAAAATTTAAACCAGAAATGGCTTTAAAAGAAAGGAGTGTTTAAAAAAGAAAGATGTTCTTATCTGAATTATTCCTTAAAAGGTCCCAACTCAACTCTTAAAGCTAACAAAATGGAAATTATTATATATGTGGAATATACAATATACAAACATATATTCCATATATATATAATAATACATAGATCAGAGCTGATTGATAGACACATGGCAATCCACTAAAAATGAGTGGCTTCCCACAAACGTTACAGTTATTTCTGCATTTATTCATTTATTTGATAAGTATTGAGCGCTTATTAAGATCTAAGCACTGTGCTAGTTCCCAGTGAGCTGCACAGACTTGTTCTTGACCTTGAAGACCCTCCTTACATTCTACTTCATTACATTTTACATTTCATTTCCTTGAAAGAGGGAAACAGGGCACTCTGGGAGCAAGTAAACAAGTAGACCAGACCTAGTCTGAAGGTGGTGGGTGGGAAGCTCTCATGGGGCTTTGGGCTTGGATCTGAAGTGATTATCACTTAAGTAAGTAAGAGGCTGCTGGTGGGATAGAGAGCGTGCACCACCACAGGGGAACTGAAGAGGGCCCTGCGGTTGGTGTGAAGGGGGCAAGAGGCAGAGGTGGAAACAGCCTGAGCCCAGAAGGACATGTTAATGTGGTCCATCTTTATTCTAAGGGCCACAGCAATCCATTGCAGAGTGACCTTCTATGACATTTGAAAAAATCCCTTTGATGGTGGTGTGATCAGAGTGAGAGTCAGAGTGGTTAAGGGGGACAAGGTAGGAGGCTCTTGCAGTCATCCAGGGAGAGCGGATGGTAAGGGGGCGAGCATGAAGAAGAGGCGTTGGATTCAAAAAGATATTTAGGAGGTAAAAATTGACAGGATTTGGAAAGGACCAAATATGGAGGTGGGAAAAGGAGAGGCAGGGATGACCTCAGGGATCTAGCCTGGGCAGTTAGGTGCACAGTGGAGGACACTACAGAGGAACAGTGGTATTACGGGATGGAGAGCGGGGATCCATGAATATAGTTTTGGACCTGCCAAGTGTGGAGCTCCAGTGAGACATTCAAATGGCCACATCAATCAAGAAGGTGTATGTATGCGTCTGGAGTCCAGAGGTCAGTTCTGGGTACAAGATATAAGCTTCAAGCCCTGCACGTCCACTGGGTATGGATCCTATGAACTTAGGGGACAACAGATCTTAATGTTAAACTCATTACTGGGAACGAACCAAAAGTTCCCAAGGGAAAAGTGCTTTTGATAAGTTTGGTTCCAGAGAATTAAACCACTTACACTTTCCAAAGACATTGGCTGAAACAAGAAAAATGGATTCTACGTCATAAAGCTCAAAAAGGGCACATAAACATGTAATCTAACAGTGCACAGTGGCTATAATTCAATACAGGGACACATCAACAGCATACTACATACAGATGTCTTCACAGCGAAATCTACTCAACCAAAAGTTCACAGTCACATTCTAGGGATGGCATTCAGGATAACCAGAAATCTGAACGGATCTATGCAGTATCTAAAAGAGTTTAAAGCAGTGGTGGCATAGGCATGACTTGGTTAAGAAATCTGGTGTTATGACCCACAGGATTGAAGAATAGGAGGCTGGAGAGGAAACAGAACGGAGGGGATCAAAGCAAGGGTTCTCACGTCAAATGGGTTTGGACACCGGCTCTGCCACTTACTAACTAGGTGACCTTGGACAAGATCCTCACCTAAGATCAGTGACCTCTTCTGTAAAATGGACTGCTGGGAGGAATATATGAGACACTGAATGCAACATGTTTGACACATACAGAGTAGGTACTTAAAAAACATTCACTGTTTTGATGACGATGATAATGACAATGACATGGACTGTTTTCTGAAAGGGGTATAAACACCTACCAAAAAGGTAAGAGAGTTCTAGGATAAGTTTGGATGTACCAAATAGACATACTATTAATCTTACTTTGACTCATCAAATCCTACATGTATACAGCACTTAATAATTTTCAAAGTACTTCCATGGACTTTATTCATTTAATCTTCACAAAACTCCTTCAAAGTCGAAGAGTAAATACTGTGCCCATTTTGAAGATGATGAAACTGAATCTTGGAGAGTTTAAGTAACTCATTCAAAGCCCCTCAGTTAATAAGTGGCAGGGCCACGATTCATACCCAAGTCTTTTCATTTCAGCTTCTATATTCCGGCACTGGTTAAGGATCCCAGAACAAAGAGAAAACAAAGTTGAGGAACTCTTTGGAGAAGTCTGTTTTAGAAGACACCTCTATAGAAAGTTGCCAAATACAATATGAAAGATGGATGAGAGTGCTTGCCATCTTGGAAGCGAAGCCAAGCGATGGAGAGAGACTGAAAGCTCATGTTATTGTGTTAAGTTGCTAGATGAAACCCCAAAACATTTTCAAATAATCAAACCAATTCATTTTTTTCTGATGCCCCACTAGTTTTAGTAGTGCTTCCATCACTTGAAACCAAACCAATCCTGACTAATAATCCGGACATTAGGCAACTCATTACTCCTTCAACAAAATCCAAGCATCTTACCTCTATGACTGTACTCATGCTATTTCCACCAACTGGTATTCCTTTTTTTAATCTGTTCAACTACTATCTACCCTTCAAAGCCTCCTTTCTTACTATCTGACAAATAAGGCCTCTCCTGATTCCACCAGTACCATAACTTCTTTTGCTCCCCAAGCACTGTTGCGCTTCTCTTATAGAACTCCATACTCTGGAGTAACTGTCTCTTCTTCCTTTCTGTGTCTGTTATAGCATCCTGTACAGCATCTTGCACATGGTAGACCTTCAGTACATAATTGATTTTACCACAGTGTATAAACCAGAATGTTAATTAATTTTTCAGAAGATTGCCAATGCTAATACTTAGTTATTTAAAATGTTATTATGTGACAAAACAAAAGAGAAGTCAAACCTTGGCTTCGCGTCTCTAAGTTTATGAGATGAACATGCAGTACTGGACATTTCCCAGTGTCCCCCACAGCTGGTCATTCTGGAGGTCATTTTGTGGGTAGCAGAACATAACCTCCCTAGAAGTATAAAATACAAAGTTACAAATCCTTCGTGCTTCATCTAGATTTTATAGATTTTATTTTCCAGATGTATTTTGTTATCTCTGTTGATGCAAGCCATGTTACTCAGCTTCCCAAATCTTATAAAAATATTATAAGCATACTTTAATAATATTCTACCATTTTATCTGTATCTCAAAATAGCTTTGGAATGTTATATTTTATATTGTTTGTAACAAATCATGTAATTCACTTCCAAAAACAAGGAAAGAGAATGAATTCAAATAAGAAAATTTTTTGCATAAAGATCTAGCAAGGTATTTTAAATTCCTAATCTGAGCTTATTCTATGAAATAAAAATGCATTAATCATTTTCTACCTACATAGCACTTAAATTGGAGAGACAGATTTTATTTTCTAATGCTTGGTTGTTAAAATGTATTTTAGATGAAACACATATAATACTTATTCCCACACAAACTACTACACAGCAAAATGAATAGAATCATCACACTCATGAAAAATGCAGGCATCGGAGAGAGATATCTATTCAACCAGAAGAATGCTATAGCATTTACCTTTCAAAATAACTATTTTCTAAGATTACTTTTAATTAGCTAATGGCTTTTGTTCTGCCACACACACACAATAAATGTATTTGCATAGTATCTCACAGTTTATACTTTACTCTGATAATTATCCCTCTTATAAATTGAAGGTTTGTTCCCCCCAACAGAATTCATATGTGGAAACTCTACCCCCTAATGAGATGGTATTAGGAGGTGGGGCCTTTGGGAGGGGATTAGAATTAGATGAGGTCATGAGGGTGGAGCCCTCATGAATGGGATTAGTACCCTCGAAAGAGTCACAGAAGAGCTTGCTTCCCCTCTCTGCTTCTGCCATGTGAGAACACAGCAAAAGACAGCCACCTATGAACCAGGGAGCAGGCTCTCACTAGACACTGGGTCTGCTGGCACCTTGATCTTGGACTTTCCAGCCTCCAGAACTGTGAGAAATAAATATTTGTTCTTTAAGCCACCCAGTGTATGGTATTTTTCTTACAGCAGCCCAAAGAGACTAAGACAATGCCCATTTCATATTTATGGAAAATGAAACTAAGAGGTAATATATGAAGGAGTTTGTGTCTCAAACCCAGTGGCCACATGGCATGTTATACAAGTGCCAATCATGAGACTGTCTTCCCCAGCTTTGGTTTCATACCATAGTCGCCTTGAGGTTTCCAAAAGCTAGTCTCTTCCAGAGCTGCCTCTGTTGCACAGCCTTGTCCTGGGGGATGGGTGTCCCCTTTGCCTTCCACAGCTGCATGGCTCTCACTCCCATCTCTCCACTCCCTGGCCTCCCTGTCCAGGCTGGCACCTTTAGACTTGCCTCTCCCTTCTGGAGATGTGATTACCAATTCTGATTCGGACAGTCTAGGCCCCCGGAAAGGCCAAGAGGAGTTGCTCTCTTCTGAAGAAAGACCCCTGATCTTATTCGGCATACGCAGAAAATTATTAGAAATATGTCTCCAGTACACTGGCCCCTTGCTCTGGTTTACATGGTGGCTCACCCCTCCAGGAGAGGCTGTCACCAACATCCTGGAGGGGGAAGGATCCCTTCAAATCGGCTTTGGAGATCTCTTTGGAAATGGGGTGACTTGAAGGTGGTATCTTTTCCTATTTCTCATGAGTTGTTTGCCTGGTGACCACTCGGGGTGTCTGTACTGATCTCCTGTCTACCCCAGGTGGTGACAATTGGTCAAACCAAGCCCTGCTGAGCACACCGTGTGCCTCTGCAGTGGGTCCATGGATGTACATGAAACTCATGGTTCTCCCAGGGGCCCTCTGACACATTCAGCGAGAGGCTGGCCATCTGAGGGGCCACTTAACTTTTGGGACGTGTTAGGTTAGCAGGACTCGGCACACTTCTGTTCAGACAGCCTCTTGGCATTCTCCCCGTAATAGTCTTCCCTGTGCTCTCCGTGATGGCATGTTTCCATCCATTTTTATGCTTAATGTCTGTTTGGGGGGACCCCAAACTGAACCCCACATTGTCTGATTCCTTTCTCCTTCCATTGGAGCTGCTAGAGGGGAGCATACTTTGACTCCCAGGCAGTCTCTGGATGAGGTCTTCACCTCTGGAGCTGTCAGCTTTGAATTCTGCTCTGACATCCTTGGGGTGTGCTATGCGGCTGCTTCCCACTAGCTATCTATTTTACATTTGGTAGTGTATATCTGTCCATGCCACTCTCTCACTTCATCCAGGCTTATCCTTCCTCCTTCCCGTGTCCTCAAGTCCATTCTCTACGTCTGCATCCTTTTTCCTGTCCTGCTCCTAGGTTCTTCAGAACAATTTTTTTTTTAGATTCCATATATGTGTTAGCATACAGTATTCATTTTCCTCTTTCTGACTCACTTCAATCTGTTTGACAGTCTCTAGGTCCATCCACCTCACTACAAATAACTCAACTTCGTTTCTTTCAATGGCTGAGTAATATTCCATTGTATATATGTGCCACATCTTCTTTATCCATTCATCTGTCAATGGACACTTAGGTTGTTTCCATGTCCTGGCTACTGTAAACAGAGCTGCAATGAACATTGTAGTACATGACTCTTTTTGAATTACAGTTTTCTCAGGGTATATGCCCAGTAGTGGGATTGCTGGGTCATATGGTACTTCTATTTTTAGTTTTTTAAGGAATCTCCATATTGTTCTCCACAGTGGCTGTATCAATTTCATTCCCACCAACACTGCAAGAGGGTTCCCTTTTCTCCACACCCTCTCCAGCATTTACTGTTTGTAGATTTTCTGATGATGGTCGCCCTGACTGGTGTGAGGTGATACCTCACTGTAGTTTTTTTTTCTCAGTACGCGGGCCTCTCACTGTTGTGGCCTCTCCCGTTGCGGAGCACAGGCTCTGGACACGCAGGCTCCGAGGCCATGGCTCATGGGCCCAGCCGCTCCACGGCATGTGGGATCTTCCCGGACCGGGGCATGAACCCGTGTCCCCTGCACTGGCAGGCAGACTCTCAACCACTGCGCCACCAGGGAAGCCCACCTCACTGTAGTTTTGATTTGCATTTCTCTAATGATTAGTGATGTTGAGCATCATTTCATTGTTTGTTGGCAATCTGTGTATCTTCTTTAGAGAAATGTCTATTTAGGTCTTCTTACCATTTTTGGATTGGGTTGTTTGTTTTTTTTTTTTTGATATTGAGCTGCATGAGCTGCTTGTAAATTTTGGAGGTTAATCCTTTGTCAGTTGCTTCATTTGCAAATATTTTCTCCCAAACTGAGGGTTGTCTTTTTGTCTTGTTTATGGTTTCCTTTGCTGTGCAAAAGCTTTGAAGTTTCATTAGGTCCCATTTGTTTACTTTTGTTTTTATTTCCATTTCTCTAGGAGGTGGGTCAAAAAGAATCTTGCTGTGATTTATGTCATAGAATGCTGGGCCTATGTTTTCCTGTAAGAGTTTGCTAGTGTCTGGCCTTACATTTAGGTCGTTAATCCATTGTGAGTTTATTTTTGTGTGTGGTGTTAGGGAGTGTTCGAATTTCATTCTTTTACATGTAGCTGTGCCGTTTTCCCAGCACCACTTACTGAAGAGGCTGTCTTTTCTCCATTGTATATTCTTGTCTCCTTTATCAAAGATAAGGTGACCATATAAGGTGGGTTTATCTCTGGGCTTTCTATCCTATTCCATTGATCTATATTTCTGTTTTTGTGCCAGTACCATACTGTCTTGATTACTGTAGCTTTGTAGTATAGTCTGAAGTCAGGGAGCCTGATCTCTCCAGCTCCATTTTTCTTTCTCAAGATTGTTTTGGCTATTCGGGGTCTTTTGTGTTTCCATACAAATTGTGAAATTTTTTGTTCTAGTTGTGTGAAAAATGACATTGATAGTTTGATAGGGATTGCACTAGGGTAGTATAGTCATTTTCACTAGAATGTTGATTCTTCCAATCCAAAAACATGGTATCTCTCTCCATCTGTTTGCATCATCTTTAATTTCTTTCATCAGTGTCTTCTAGTTTTCTGCATATAGGTCTTTTGTCTCCTTAGGTAGGTTTATTCCTAGATATTTTATTCTTTTTGTTGCAATGGTGAATGGGATTGTTTCCTTAATTCACTTTCAGATTTTTCATCATTAGTGTATAGGAAAGCCAGAGATTTCTGTGCATTAATTTTGTATCCTGCTACTTTACCAAATTCATTGATTAGTTCTAGTAGTTTTCTGGTAGGATCTTTAGGATTCTCTATGTATAGTATCATGTCATCTGCAAACAGTGACAGTTTTACTTCTTCTTTTCCAATATGAATTCCTTTTATTTCTTTTTCTCTCAATTGCTGTGGCTAAAACTTGCAAAACTATGTTGAATAATAGTGGTGAGAGTGGGCAATCTTGTCTTGTTCCTGACCTTAGTGAAAATGGTTTCAGTTTTTCACCATTGAGGATGATGTTGGCTGTGGGTTTGTCATATATGGCCTTTATTATGTTGAGATAAGTTACCTCTATGACTATTTCTTGACAGTGTTTATCATAAATTGGTATTGAACTTTGTCAAAAGCTTTTTCTGCATCTATTGAGATGATCATATGGTTTTTCTCCTTCAGTTTGTTAATATGGTTTATCACATTGATTGATTTGCATATATTGAAGAATCCTTGCATTCCTGGGATAAACTCCACTTGATCATGGTGTATGATCCTTTTAATGTGCTGTTGGATTCTGTTTGCAAGTATTTCATTGAGGATTTTTGCATCTATGTTCATCAGTGATATTAGCCTGTAGATTTTTTGTGTGTGTGACATCTTTGTCTGGTTTTGGTATCATGGTGATGGTGGCCTTGTAGAATGAGTTTGGGAGTGTTCCTCCCTCTGCTATATTTTGGTAAAGTTTGAGAAGGATAGCTGTTAGCCCTTCTCTAAATGTTTGATAGAATTTGCCTGTGAAGCCATCTGGTCCTGGGCTTTTGTTTGCTGGAAAATTTTTTTTTTTTTTTTTGCGGTATGCGGGCCTCTCACTGTTGTGGCCTCTCCCGTTGCAGAGCACAGGCTCCGGACGCGTAGGCTCAGCGGCCATGGCTCACAGGCCTAGCCGCTCCGCGGCATGTGGGATCTTCCCGGACTGGGGCACGAACCCGTGTCCCCTGTATCGGCAGGCGGACTCCCAACCACTGCGCCACCAGGGAAGCCCTGCTGGAAAAGTTTTAATCACATTTTCAATTTCAGTGCTTGTGATTGTTCTGTTTATATTTTCTATTTCTTCCTGGTCAGTCTCAGAAAGTTGTGCTTTTCTAAGAATTTGTCCATTTCTTCTACATTGTCCATTTTATTGGCATATAGTTGCTTGTAGTAATCTCTCATGATCCTTTGTATTTCTGCAGTGTCACTTGTTACTTCTCCTTTTCCATTTCTAATTCTATTGATTTGAGTCTTCTCCCTTTTTTCTTGATGAGTCTGGCTAATGGTTTATCGATTTTGTTTATCTTCTCAAAGAACCAGCTTTTAGTTTTATTGATCTTTGCTATCATTTCCTTCCTTTCTTTTTCATTTATTTCTGATCTGATCTTTATAATCTCTTTCCTTCTACTAACTTTGCATTTTTTAAATTCTTCTTTCTCTAATTGCTTTAGGTGTAAGGTTAGTTGTTTATTTGAGATGTTTCTTGTTACTTCAGGTAGGATTGTATTGCTATAAACTTCCCTCTTAGAACTGCTTTTGCTGTATCCCATAGGTTTTGGATCATCATGTTTTCATTGTAATTTGTTCCTAGATATTTTTTGATTTATGCAGTGATCTCTGGTTATTTAGTAGTGTATTGTTTAGCTTCCATGTGTTTGTATTTTTTACAGTTTTTTTTCTTGTAATGGATATCTAGTCTCATAGTGTTGTGGTCGGAAAAGATACTTGATAAGATTTCAATTTTCTTAAATTTACCAAGGCTTGATTTGTGATCCACGATATGATCTATCCTGGAGAATGTTCCATGAGCACTTGAGAAGAAAGTGTATTCTGTTGTTTGTGGATGGAACATCCTATAAATATCAATTAAGTCCATCTTGTTTAATGTGTCATTGAAAGCTTGTGTTTCCTTATTTATTTTCACTTTGGATGATCTGTCCATTGGTGAAAGTGGGGTGTTAAAGTCCCCTACTACTATGATTGTGTTACTGTCGATTTCCCCTTTTATGGCTGTTAGCATTTGCCTTATGTATTGAGGTGCTCCTAGGTTGGGTGCATAAATATTTACATTTATTATATCTTCTTTTTAATTTTATTTATTTATTTATTTGCGTTATGCAGGCCTCTCCCGTTGTGGAGCACAGGCTCCGGACGCGCAGGCTCAGCGGCCATGGCTGACGGGCCTAGCCGCTCTGTGGCATGCGGGACGTTCCCAGACCGTGGCATGAACCCGTGTCCCCTGCATTGGCAGGTGGACTCTCAACCACTGCACCACCAGGGAAGCCCAATTACTACTACTTTTATTTTTATTATTGTTATTTTTTAAATTAATTAATTTATTTATTTTGGGCTGTGTTGGGTCTTCGTTGATGCATGTGGGCTTTCTCTAGTTGCAGCAAGCGGGGGCTACTCTTTGTTGCAGTGTGCTGGCTTCTCATTGCGGTGGCTTCTCTTCTAATTACTTTTGTTTTTAAATTACTACTTCTCTTTTAATTACTACTACTTTTAATTTATACTACTTTCAATTACTCAGTTGGCTCTGCATTGACATAACCGACACACAGTCAAGATGTGCTTTTAGATTCCAATGGACAGGTGATTAAGTCAAACACAAACTGACTGGCCTGCCTGTGGAAAAGAAAACATCAGAAGCTAAAGAAAAAAGAAAAACTGTTTTAAAATTATGGTTTGCAATTACTTGAGAGCGTAGTGGAGAACTGGTGGTGTCAGTATATGCAGATAAACAGATGTTTGCTTAATAAGTCTGTACCTCACTCCTTGTTGAATGCCAAGATGTTTTTAAGACCTCAGTACTTCATTGTTTCAATACTGTTTCTTGCAATCCCCTGAAATCTTCCAAGAAATTAAGCCTTGCCCCTCGACCCCCCCCCCCCAGACTGCAGTCTGCACATGCCACCTACAGGCATAACAAGACCCTGGTTTTCTCCAAGGTAGCCACCAGGATTGCTTAACTATCATCCATAAAAACCCTGGCAGGCGGAGCAGAAGTCAAGGCAAAGGCAAGGGGCATGGTTAATACAAAAACTCGTGACACTGAGAGGGACAACAGGGGAGATATAAAGGAAAATGGCAACCGAACGAGAGAAAAGAAAACATAAGTGTTAACAAATTAAGGGCTGGGAAAACTAGGAGAGTGTATCAGTTACATGTTGGAAACAGAGGTTGGCTTTTACCTAAAACCAAACCACATGCCCTCTGATAAATGATTAGAGCCCAGAAGAGACTCTTCTAGGAAGATAAACCAGGACACACACCACAGGCCTTAAGAAATACATATTCTACAGCAAACTTTCTCCCCCCCCAAATCCAACATTGTTCTGTTTCTGGTGCTTACACAACACCTTCTTAGTTATAAAAAAAAAAAAACCCTGCAATTTCATCTCAGGCAAGCCTGTGATGGTAAGTAATCATCTAGTTTTACAGGTGGGAATGCCTGTGTTTTAATGTGGAGCCTTCGGGATTTCCTAAGCCAGGACCTAAGCCAAAGAACAGTCCCCTGGACATGGGGAACTTTCTCCCAGCCTCTGCACTTTGCTATTACTCACATACTGGCTCTCTCCTCTCGTGCATGCGCTTGTTGTCTGGCCAAAGAATAACACACCTACAATCAAACTTTCACTTGCCAGTTTGTCACTTAGAAAAAACATTCTACCTTCCCCTTGATCCCTATGATGTCATGATCGATGCTCCAGCAGTCAGTGTGGTTATATGGGAAAAGTGTAGGGTTGGGATTCAGGCAAACAATGCTGAGTCTAAATCCCAGCTCCACCACAAGCGATCAGTGTGTCTTAACCTGTTTCCTCATCAAAAAAAAAAAAGAGAGGAAACAAGTGAAACTTACACTCCATCCCTATCTCATGCTTCAGGAATAAATAGGGATAAAATATCTTAGGTGCCTGGCCCAGAAAAGGTAATTATAAATCTGTTATGTCTCCTTCTTTTAATTTATATGATAAACGCAAAAAAACTCTGAAGCACTTATTCTGTTTGCTCTTTATTCATTCATCAAACTTTCCTAAGAGCAAACATTCCTGAACACAATGAAATTGATGTGGTTGTCTCTGTCCCCATGGAACTACAGTTGGAGGGGTTCGGGAAAGGGGGAGATGAAACAGCTGTTAAATGAGTGAATGAATTTGCTTGAATTAATGAGTTTTAAATCAACTATACTCCAATAAAAATTTTTTAAAAATTAATGAGGGGTGAGGCTTGAATAAAAGCTCCATTATGTCAAAAGAAAATGAAACTAAGTTCAGGTACTGAGCTTGGAAGCCAGACCCTGCGTGGTTTAATTCTGGACTCCACCACTGGGCAAGTTGCTGAAGTTTTCTGTTCTCCCCTTTCTTCTTCTGTAAAGTTGAAATAATAATAGTTCCCCATTGGGTTACTGAGAAAAGTAAAAGCAACACCCCTCCCTAGAGCACCCCATTTCTCCCCAGCATTTACTCCACACATCAACAGGATTCCTGAGGTGCCTAGGTTTCCACTTAGCCTCTGGCCATCCTGAACAGCCAAACTGCCCCAAAGACGCACCCTAACTCATTGGTCCTCCTGGATGACAAAAAAGAAAAGCCGACTGGCCCCCCGGGGTAGGACCATGCTACTTATGGCACCTTTTGAGAGTACGCCCAGGCCCAAGGGTTGACAACCAGAAAACCCAGCCCTTCCAGAAGCTGTGGCCCTCTCCTAATGGAAGTTGATTAGAATGAGCTGGGGCTCCTTGATTAGAATAACAAGGACTCTAAGCGCCAAGCTCCGCCCAGACCTTCTGAGAGCACAGTCTTTGCGTTCCCACCTGGGCCCCCTGAGAAACTGACGTCCTCCATCTGGTTCGGCAGAGGCAGCAGCCCCTGGAAGGAAGGGCAGGACGGGATAGTAAAGTAAGGAACAGGAAGCCCACGGTCTGGGAATCACCTCGGTGTGGACGGTTACTACCTACATGCATAAGACTTAAGTGTCCTCGTGCGTGCACCGCGGAAGGACTCTGCAAAGAAAGGTAAACCGCTAAGGCAAGTAGAAATGATGAATTCTTTCAGCCAAATGCTATCCCAAGCATTGGAATACGCAGGTGAGATGTTACATAAAAGTACTAGAGGGCTTCCCTGGTGGCGCAGTGGTTGGGGGTCCGCCTGCCGATGCAAGGGGCGCGGATTCGTGCCCCTGTCCGGGGGGAATCCCGCGTGCCGCGGAGCGGCTGGGCCCGTGGGCCGTGGCCGCTGGGCCTGCGCGTCTGGAGCCTGTGCTCCGCGGCGGGAGAGGCCGCGGCGGTGAGAGGCCCGCGTACCGCAAAAAAAAAAAAAAAAAACACTACTAGAAAGACACGTCACACGAATTCCTCTCCCCCTACTCCCCCACCACCCGGAAAAAACAAAACTCTTACAGATTATTTTAAATAAGAAATGGGCACAAGAAATACTCAAATCAATATTAATAATAAAAGTAACTTCTTAGCTTGACTGTCCTGGACTACAAGCCCCTTCTCGGTCGGGCGGTGGACGCTAGGGCAGAGATGCAACCCTACACTGCGCTAGGGAAGCTGCACGCGGCGCAGCCCGGGTCGCCATGGAAACCACGGTGGTTGGGCGGACGCGGGGCTGGTGGGCGGGGTTCCGCAGTGGCTGCTGGGGAGACGCCAGAGTGGCGGCTGGGGGCTGCGAGAAAGCTCAGGAGAAGACAGCAACTTCTGGGTTCCCATGGCCCACAAGAGCTCGGCTCCTGCTCGAGACCCAGGAAGGAAAACAGAAAGTTGCTTCCCATCCAAGAATTTCCAAATCTGCCGGATGATCAGTAGCACTTGCTTAGAAACCTAGACCCCAGGTTCCCAGTGCTGCTGCCTTAGCAAATCAAAATCTCCGCGGCGAGGATCCGGAGTCTGCATTTAACCAGGTGCTTTATAGGGTCGGGAGGTTGGGAGACAACGGGTCCGCCTCTTCTGTTTTCTCAGCCCCCCCCCGTAATAGTTAAAGAATATGCACCCTAATTTCCTCCCCAGCAGCTTTCTAGGAGGGGCATTCCTGCGAGCTGGAAATGCAGAGCCCGTTCAGTTTCTTGAACTGAACTGCAAGCTGATTGGAAGCGTCGCTGTTTTTTGCGGGTTTCCCACTTGGGGGCAGCCTCGTCCTTCGCTCCTGTTCATTTGGCAAAGCAGTGGCCCACGGTATATAGTCCAGTTAATTCCGGCTTCAGTGTCCTTAATATAAGCTCTTGTAGAAAGCGGGGCATGGGTGCAGAGAGAGATGTCTCCCTAGGAGGAGTGGGACAGTAGCTGAGCCTAGGGCTCTAAATGTAAGATTCTCTTAGCTCCAATTCCTGGTTCACACTTAGGATTCAGAACAATGAATCTGTGTTTGTAAAGAAATAATGTTCTCATTGAGAATAATGCATGTGCACTAGGCAACAGATTTCTCAGCCCTCTGGGCCTTATCCTTTACTGGACAATTGGATGGGACCTCAGGATTGATTTAGACAGCCCCAGCCGGGCTTTAGAGTTAGGCCTGGACCCCTGGGAGCCATGGGCCTCATTTGCCCACTTTCAGGAGGCAGCATGGTGGTGAAACGGAAGAGGGACTCAGCTTCTGAGTAGTGGGGATTCCCATAGTATAGTCCTCCCTGAAAGTAAAAATGGAAGCTGCAAAATTTGCACAGCCTTCCTTAGAAATCTAGGGAGGCTCAGCCCAGTAGAATGGGATAACCTATGGATCTCTACAACCTTATGCATTTACCATGCTTTCTTACAATAACCTATGTTTATAGGTCTGATTTCTGTGTTATTGCATGCATGCATATAATATCACATCCAAGCTCACATAGGCTGGAAGTGATAGGGTTGAAACCTAGCAGGACCCTGTGGGGCCTTCCTGGGCACAGACGCCCTGTGTCCTGGCATCTTGTTTGTAGAAAAGCTTTAGCCTGTTAGGCCTTTCCTGAGTTCCAAGGGCAAATTTAATCAGAGAAATGAGATAATGCAAAAACAAAGGAAACAGTCCAGCAGGACAAAATAATAATAGTTTAGGCATAAAACAAAGTCAAGGACCTTTAGTTCCTCATCAAGGGCTATAGTTAAGTCCTGAGATCTATCCTTGAGTTGTTTTGCAGATACTTAAAACCCCCACCAGGTGGAAGAAGTTAACTGCGTGCTGACCTCACAGGGCTTAGACCCCAGACTGATTGGAGCCAGAAGGTTAATGGTTGAGATTCCCGAAATAGCACCCTGTTACCTCGCCATCAACCAAACAGAACTGTGCAGGAGCTGATGATAGACACTGTGACCCTCTCCCTCATACAGTTTTAAAAAACCCTTCCTTGAAAGCCATCAGGGAGTTTGGGTCTTTTGAGCATGAGCTGCCTGTTCTCCTTGCTTGGCCGCATCTTGGGTCCTTTGCAGTAACCACTGTACTTTCCTTCACCACAGCCCAGTGTCGGTAGATTTGGGTGTAGTTGTGTGTTGGGCGAGTGGACCCAAGTTTGGTTCGGTAACAGAGCCAGATCTTCCTTAGCACAAGGCAGAACCCAGGCCCAGCACCAGGCCAGCCAGCAGGGGCTGGGGAGAACAACTGGTTAACTGGTTTCATTTTCTTGGTCACCCAAGTAATCAGTGTTGCAAGATGGGAGTAGAGGGCAGTCAGCTTTCAAGCAGTGAGCAGAAGAAAGCCCCCACTGTTGGCTTTTGAGTGTGAGCAGGAGGGTAATCCTTCTTCAAAAGATATCTGGTCAGGAAAATTTAGGAAGTTCATTAAAATAAGGTCAAAGCAGTCATTTAGTGACTGACAGAATTTGCATGGAGACAGAGCAGAGAGCCAAGCTTGATTTTGAATTTCCTGGTTTCCTCGAGGGGGAGAAAGTAATGTTATTAGTCAGGAGAACCAGGGGTTCTTATTTCATATTAATTTTATAAATTTTAATTTAATTAATAAATAAATTTAATTTTAATTAAATTAAAAAAATTTGTTTTGGTGGAAAGATAACAAGTTGGTCTTGGATAGAAAGAAGCTGAAGGACTTGTGGGATATTTAGGCAGACCAAAAACAGGTGTGTTGGGGCTAGATTCTGGATTATACTAATTTGGATTACAGGTGCTACTTGAAATCATTAGCACAGGTAGGATCAGCTGCTGCAGAGAAAACTTTTTTTTTTTTTTTTTGCGGTACGCGGGCCTCTCTCTGTTGTGGCCTCTCCCGTTGCGGAGCACAGGCTCCGGACGCGCAGGCTCAGCGGCCATGGCTCACGGGGCCCAGCCGCTCCGCGGCATGTGGGATCTTCCCGGACCGGGGCACGAACCCGTGTCCCCTGCATCGGCAGGCGGACTCTCAACCACTGCGCCACCAGGGAAGCCCGAGAAAACATTTTTGCGACTAAAGAGGACAGACATCTCAGGATACCAGAGGAGAAAGAGATTTTGAAGATGACAGAAATGGTCCTTTGACATTTTTTGAGTTTCCTATCTTTTTGCCACGCTCTACACACAGACACAAAGCAAGAGCTATCTTATCCGCAAAATAGAAAGTGGAGATGGCAGCAGCAGATGGGATTTTTTCGTGCTAAGACTCAAATTCCTGAAAGCACTATGATTTTTTAGAAGCCCCCAAAACTTCTCTCTCTCATGTTTTAGGTCTCCATCAAGGAAAGGCTGAATCCCTAGAGTGAATGAATCAAAAGTTAAAAACAATAATACAAAAGTCTGTGCATTGAGCCTGCTGTTAAACGTTTGTACATTTAATCATGTGTGCTCCTGCAGGGCGCATGTGGAAGCACAACAAAGATGCTTTCTGGAGCTCAGGAGGCTGGAGCTCAGGAGGCTGCGAGGTCAGATGGCATGGAGTTCCTGCTGGAGGACTCCTTCTCCTATCAGTAGGCACATCCAGAGTGTCTTTAGTGTGCAGAGCTGTGCAGAGTTAGACAGACTCAAAGCACAAATATCCTGAGACAGAGAGACAGAGAGAGTTCCCCAGCAGTTCATGTCACTGTGTGAAATCGAGGAAGAAGTACAAGCAAAATGTGGGCATCAAAGATGAGAAGCTGAGCAAAGCTCACACGCTTGGCTGCTGAAAGAAAAGGGCCTGGGGCCTGCCACTTTCATGTGTGGTCACGATGATTAACTAGCAGGTGTCAGAAAACATCTGACAGCTCTTAGGCTTGGATAAGTGTTTGATAAAAGGCAGTATCCAACCTTCAAAAAAGTTTATCCCCAAAGTCGTTTGTATGTCTGTTGTTTGAACCTGGAAATGCTTTCATTCTCGGAACAGGTCCTCCAAATCCATTTACCCCTGTAGGCATACGTTTATTCTGTAGTCACCAACAGATATTTAGTAAGCACCTACTGTCTGCCCAGTAGAGTGTGAAGCATATAGTAGTGAACAAGCAGACAAAAATTCTGGCTGTCACGGACCTTAAATTCTAGTGGGAGGAAACAGACAATAAATACGAAGTAAGAAATAAATAAGAGAAGCGTGCTGTATTTTAGACGGGGATAAATGCAAAAGAGAAGAACCAGGTAGGGATGGGGCAAAGAAATACTGGGGCATGTAGTTAGGGTAGCCCTCACCGAAAGGGGGACATTCAAGCAAAGACCCCAGAGGTGCAGAAGTTAATTGTGCAGGTATGTGGAGGATTGAATCCAGGGCTGAGGGGAAAGCAAATGCAGAGGCCCTGAAGTGGGAGCGTGACCACGTGTTTAAAAAACAGAAAGGAGGCAGTGTGACTGGAGGGGACTGCCAGGTGGGAGAGTGTTGGGAGATGAGCTCAGAGAAGCAGTGGTCAGAGCAGTGGCTCTACAGAGTCTTGTATTCCTTTGACTTTTTCTCTGAGCTGGGAACTTGTTGAAGCATTTTGAGAAGAATGGTGTGATCTGACTTACTTTTTAAAATATTGAGATATAATTCATTTACCACTAAATTCACCCATTTACAATATAAAATTCAGTGGTTTTAGTCTATTCAGAGTTGTGCAGCCATTAGCATTATATTATTCCCGAGCATTCTCATTATCCCCAGTCAAGCTCTGTACCAATTAGGAGTCACTCTCTACCCATTCTCCCACACCCCACGTCCCTGGAAATGACTAACCTACTTCCTGTCTCTGTGAATTTGCCAACTTGGGGCATTTCATAAAAATGGAGTCATACAACATTGTGGCCCTTTGTGTCTGGTTTTTCTTTCACCTGGCATAATGTTCTCAGGATTCATTCAT